GACGACACTTGTTTGGTGAATCGCCTCTTGAATGCTTGGTTTTGCACTAAAGCTAACCAAATTCATTTCTCCAAGTGTTTGTTGTCATTGCTCATTTTGAAGGAATCCCAAGATGGTGCGACATTGGAGAGTGCCCACTTCAAGCTTGAAGATGACGACTACTTGGTGAACGTCCACTCCTACACGGCGAAGCCATCTCTTTCCCATGGTGATTTGGTTTTCGATCCGAGGTCGGATCTTTCCCAAGGGAGGGGAGATGATGCGGAGCATCCTACGGACATCACCATGTCAAGAGTCCGTTTGGCAAGTGACACGTGCGACCTCTACTTCACATACACAAAGGTGAATCATATCCTTTACACGTGCTCACTTGACCCCTTCGAGGATGGTATACTACTTGACACTTCTCCCGTGTGCATGCATAGGTATTGTCGGAACGCTGCGGACGACGTGGAGGAGTGCAAGCGCCAAGGAACACCTACACCATCCGCGAGGGAAGCGTGGAAACAAAGACGCAAGAAGAAGAGTTGTCGAAGAAGCTCCGGCCACCGGACGACCGGTCGGGTCCGGACGACCGGCGCCTGAAGATCCACCGGACGACCGGTCCAGACCGGACGACCGGTGTCTCTGCACCCGAGCCAAACGAGCGGACATCCCACGCCATCGGACGACCGGCGACCGGACGACCGGTCCAGACCGGAAATCCGCTACACCAGCATCTGAGCCAGAACGAGCGGACGACCAGCCCCTACCGGACGTCCGGCCGCCCACGAGCCACCGGACTACCGGTCCCCAGTGGATGTCCGGTACCTGGCTGTGTCCAGTTGCGGGCTGAGGCCCATGTACCCCTTCACTTACCCCTTCGTGGCCCTAGACTATATATACTCCTCCACCTCCACCATTTGAAGGTCAGCGTTGGGATAGCTCATTTGAGAGATAGAGCTACGCTCATCCATATAGGATCTCCTCCTTGCGAGAGACCGCAGCCTCTTCGGAGAAGATCCCTTTGGATTCAAGCCCCCTTTCTAAGGGAAGATCCCCCCATGGATTCAAGACCTCCTCACAGAGAAGACCAGCTACCCTTGTATCGTCCTTAGTTGTCCGTGGATCGTGTATCTTCTCTTATGTATTCGAGGATCTAGCGCATGTGTGATCTATTCTTGTTGGTTGAGTGATTCTCTCGTGTTTCCTCTTGTGTTTTCCCTCGTTTTCCCATCGTGTTCTTCGCGTTCTTGGACGGGATCCGCTCCTTTCGTGAAAGATCGGCCCCTAGGGTTCCTACCCTACATCATAATGGTGGTGGTTGATGAAGAAGCAATTGTCCCTAAGTAGGCTAAACACCTTAGGAGACTCAAGTCACAACTCAAACAACCTCAAACGCTAAGGGGAACAAAATTGGTTAGGTTGCGGAAGGCTATGGTGGTTTTGCGGAAGTTATGGTGGAAGTCCTAGGCAAAGATGCCAAAGTTTCAAAAATTTGATGGAGTCAAATGGTGATGGTAGTATTTTTGTGGGATTGGAGATGTCAAGAGTTTCAAAACGAGCTAAAGAACGTCAAAATCGAACTCCAGATGAATTAGTCATGGACAAAATGGTGAAACCGGACAAGCTGAATTCCCAGGGGTCGGACATCCGGGGCTCGGGGCCGGAAATCCAGGATCTGATGTCCAGAACCACGCGCGAATTGCGCTCCAGGAGCCGGATGTCCGGGCCTACGGGCCGGATGTCCGGGGGGCCAGATGTCCGGGGCTACGGGCCGGATGTCCGGGCTCCAAATCCGAGGATGAACTCGAGGAACTCGATTTTGGGGGCGGAAATTAATGGTTTTAGGGGGGGATTGGAGAGATTTCGTGGATGGAAAGTGGGGAAACTTGGGGGAAAGATAGATCCACTAGTAACACAACGAATCCATGGATCAAAATCAACAAAACATCATCAAACCAACAAATCACAAAAAAAATTGGGGGCTATTTTTATGGGGATTTTTTGAATTTAGGATGAAATCAACAAAATTAGGCTAGAAAACAAAGAGGGGAGGCTCCGAAATCATGATCAACGTGGCTCATGATACCAAGATGATGTAGGACGAAACCCTAGATGGCCGATCTTTCACGAAAGGAGTGGATCCCAACGAGGAACACGAAGAACAGAAGGGGAAACACGAGGGAAAACACGGGAGAATCACCAAACCAACAAGTTACGGTCACACATATGCTAGATCCAAGTACACATAGAGATCACATGATCCAAAGTCAACACGGGACGATACAAAGGGTAACCGGTTCTTCTCTGTGAGGAGGTCTTGAATCCAACGTGGATCTTCTCCGAAGAGGGGCCGCGGTCTCTCTCAAGGAGTAGATCCGTATGGATGAGCGAAGCTCTATCTCACACATGAGCTAACACAACGCTAACCCTAACTAGGAGGAGGAGGGGGTCTATATATAGTGCTATCCCACGAAGGGGTAAGTAAGAGGGGGATACATGGGCCCTTGGCCCGTTCACTGTGCGCAGACAGGCGCCGGATGTCCGGGCTGGGGGCCGGATGTCCGGCGGCTCACGAAGAGGCGGATGTCCGGGCCTTGGCCGGTTGTCCGGGCTGAGTTCGGCCTGAACAGATGCTCTCTGGATAGGCGGGGCCGGATGTCCGGGGCTTCGGGAGTAGCCGGATGTCCGGCCGCTGTAGCAGCTGGCCCTTCTTCCTTCTTTCGTCTTTGCTTCCGCGCACACTTGGCCTTGATCCTTGGGTTCTCCATGGTCTCCTCGGGTGTACCTGAGTATGCACAAGGTCCGTGCTTGAGATAGCATCCATGTCTTACACGCGGAAAGGGAAGATTCAGAAAGGAGCGAGTTCACCTTAGATCCAATAGCGTATGCTTAAGGTCTCAACATGTGGGCACTTAAGGCTTAGGGAGTTGTCGTAATGTATATGAGGATGATCGAAGGATGCTCCGCATCACGTGTCCGTGACATATGATCGGCCGGAGGGCATCCATGCTATTTGTTAAACATTTTTTTGATAAAAGTAATTGTTCACATACATTTAACGTAGAAATATAAATGGAATCTAATCTCTTATCACGATGGCCGGAGCCCGTGAAGACACCTCGTCTTACATATTTGACCGGGCGTCTTCAATAAATATGGTCGGAGCGTTGACTGGTGCGGCCGCAGCGATCTTGGCTTCTTTGGCATAGAAGCGGGCGCTGCTGCTGCTCATCCTGATCGAGGGCATCATGGCTTTCGCATGCCTTGACTTTGAGTCGAGCAAGTGACCGGTGGCCAGCGCCTCCTCCTCTTTTGCACAGGCGGTGCGCGACTCCCGAGTAAATCCGCATGGAGCGAGGAGCGGCGAGCGCCTCCTTTTTTCTTAGGCAGCCACACGAGCGTTGGACGCCTCCTCTCTCTCTCTTTGGCGGCGACGGCGGTGGCGGCCATGCAGTGTCGTGAGAGGTATGACCACTTGATCTTGCGCGGCGAAGGTGGGGAGGACATTGTGAGGAAAGGAGCGTGATAGTGCCACGGACGTGTGAGGACGGGAAAATGGGTGGACTAGGGTTTGTGTGTGGGAAGGGGGGTTGTCGGCCGGTCGGACATCAATGCAGGTAGGCGGAGCAGTGTGCCGTGCAGGGTTTTGGATGGCACCAAGGTGTCAAAGTCTAAAGTGACGGACGTCTGGACTCCCTTCTTGATTTGGGGTTGGGGGATTTCAACGCCCAGATTGATCATGCCTAATTTGAACGGCTGTATTGGTGGCCTAAAAATGTCCGGACCGTAGGAGATTTGGGCGGCAGCGTTGGAAACAGGCGCGGTATCTTAGCCGCGCGCTGAAAAAACCCACTTTTTTTACGCGCACGGAGCCGAAACGGGCGCTCCAGCAGCCGCACAATAATCACGCGAGCGGAGGGAAACGGCATCGCGCGCGGTGTATTTGATGCGCCCGCTCCCGTCTGTTGGACAACGACGATCCGCGCGCGATTTCACCAACCGCCAGATCTGAGACCTCCAGGTGCTCGCCGCCGCCCGCACCTTCCCCATTCGCTCCGGTGACCCGTCGACGCTTCCCCTGCCTATCTCCGCGCCGCTGCTTCCTCCACCTTCTCTCCTTGCTGCCGCCCCTCGAGCACACCATTCCTCCGACGAACAGCGCTCGACGATCGTTTGCGGCTCCGCGCCGACAAGGTGTTTGACAAAACGCTTTCAAGGTATGTATTGCTTCAACTTTATATTTTGTAGATGAATTTGGTGAACTATTTGTTGTGAAAAGATAAACTATTTGTTTGAGTTGTAATAAATTGAACTATTTATTGTTGATTTATTTTTTGTGTGTTTGATCTTCTTGGTTCTATTTTGAGTGCGAAATGTCGTTTGTGCTGGGCGCGCACTGTGTAAATTTAGCGCGCCTGCTGGAGCTATAGCATCACGCCATATTTTGCCGCGCCTGCTAGAGCAAGCGCCCTGCTGCAAGCAAAAAAGCTATTTCGGCACTGTAAAAATAATTTAGCGCATCGCGTAGTTGCGCGCCTGTTGGAGATGCTCTTACGAGACTCTTTTGCGTGCTATACACAATGTACAAGGATTAATTTCAGATTGCAGAAGGTAAGTGTTCACATATGGGAAGCAGCTACTAATGGTAAGTTGGCAACACGCGGAGACAAGCTTTTACAGCCAAGCTGTAACTGGCTCAGCCATTCTAAGACGATTTCAGAGGCGAACTCCAGATTGTTTCCGTTTCAATGCAATTGCTGCTATATGCACAATCTGTCAAACAGGATTGGCAACCCTTTAAAGCGCCCACGTAAAATAAAAATTTCCATGTCAGGAACAGCATTCAAAGATTTACAGGGCCATACATCCTGGAAAAGTAACTAGCATGGTACATAAGTTATAGCGCATCTCAGGCTCACATCACCTATTCCTCTTGTTGTTTGTTGGATACAACGACCATGAAGGAAGAAGAAACCAAGAAGAAGAAGAAGATGATGTCTGCAAAGAAGAGATCCATGTCTGGAAAAGGGAAGAGGCGAAGCGCCAGGTTGCTCAAGCTCGAGGAGCAGAAGAATGATGACAAGGATGGTGGCTGCATCCTAGATCCCTGGCACATCATCCGGAATAGCTTCTCCTGCGCCGCGCAAGGGAAGAGAAAAAGGAATGACCAAGTCCAGGTAAAAATTTCCATCAAAGCTATGAATTTGTTTTCTCTCTCCCGGTTGATCTGTTCATTCATCTACATCTTTCTTCACAAGTTACAGGGAGAAGCTTCGTGTGGCCAAGAGATCGATGCGGCATATACCGGTAAGTGATCACCGCCTTGTTTTCTGATGGCATGCTGATGCTGCCTGTGTGTGCATGCGTGAATCCAGTTAATTTTGTTTCAGATAACATGTCAGGCAAGGACGCGACATCGGAGCAGATCATCGACTACATTCTCAACATGCTGGAGCTGTAAGCTTGGGACTATGTGTATATCTTTTCTTTTCCTGTTTTGCTACAGCACAAGCGATGTTGCGTTGATGAGAGAGTGGCCGTAGATGGGGGAGGAAAGGGCGGCGGCAAGAGGGCTAGAAGATGAGGATGTGATAAGGAAAGTTGGGGTTAGGTGAAGAAAACGAATTATAACCATTGAATGGAAAGCATGCGGCTAAAGGAGGTTACTAGGATTTTAAGAAAAAAATGCAATTGTGCTACGGCAAGACCCCTTTCGGTTTGAATAGAGCTCATGTGACTGGAATTCTCTTAAATTTAAATCACCTTGCTTCTTCCTCCTCCCCTCTAGTGGCATGAGGTGGAGCTCACAACCGGCGGTAAGGAGATGGCCGTAAAGAGAGGCCTGGGGCTGGGGGCATTGGCGCGGGAGAAGAGCTGCCACCACCTGGACATAGAGAGATGTTTGTGTGCGTGTGCGGAGAGGAGGGGGGGAGGGGTCATGTAGAGAGCAAGGTGAGGAGGGGAAGGGGGCTGCGTGACTAGCTATGGGGTGGGTGGGGTCAAAGAGCGGGTTGAGGAGCAAATGATGCGGAGTGATCGGATATAGGGAGAAGAGGGCGACGGTGGCAACCAGAGAGCTGAATGACGAGGAGGACAGTAAATATAGAAAGTTAAGGGTTTAGGGGGATAAGGCGAAACATAGGAAGGTCTTTTTTGTTGGATGGAACTCATGTGAAGAGCAAAAAAGAGAAATTGTGGAAATCATGTGGCTTGGCTAAAGAAAGATTTTTGAAACTAGCTTGGCTAAAGAAAGTGACCAGGCAACTGTACTCAAGCATCTCTTTCTTGTTGGTCGGGCTGTGGCGTTGTGTATCGGGAGCACAAGCGCGAACCTGGAAGGTCTTTTTTACATGCGTTTTGTTTGTCCCGTTGCAGGAGAGACAGACTTGAGTTGTTTGCGATGCCGGATGACATCCAGGTAAACCATGCTCGCATGAACAAGGCACGTCTGAAATTTCCCCTCGCGATTTATAAATGGAAACGTTGACATATTTCTTGTTTCATCTTGACATGGTGGTGCAGGTGGGTGATTGCACGGAACGGGTAGAGAGGCCCGGCGATTTCGCGACGTTAAGGCAGAAGAACACAGATGGCACCTACAAGACGCTAGAGCAATTCGAGGTCAGCCCGTCTCATTCATTGTTCCTGTTGTTTATTTTTCTTTCTTTCTTTCTTTCTTTCTTTCTTTATTTATTTATTTATAGATAGATAGAGAAATGAACATTTGGTTCCATGATCTTCATGTGCAGAAGGATGTGTACATGGTGTTCCAGAAGGCAATGTCCATAAACAGCCAGGACACCATACCTTACAAAGAGGTTAGTCGGTCGTTCATTCCTCAATTAAGCAACCATACTATACGTTGCATGCATGCCAGAATGAATGCATGAATGTTTGTTTTTGGTGCAGGCCGTGGCGTTGCTGGATCAAGCCAAGCAGGTTTTCCTGTCCCTCAAGAAGAACCGGATGTACTCCGAGTCGGACCTCCTGGCCTGGCGTCACAAGCAACTCGACGCCGGGCCCAGCAAGGCAGCGAGAGATCAACAAGGCGGCGATGCTGCTGTTACACCTGCACAGCAGCGGCCCAGCATCACGCCGCTGAGGAAGAAGGCCGGCGAGAAGAAACACCAGATCGGCAAGGGAGGAATCAGAAGCACGCCATCGCCGGTAAAGAGAGCAAGAAAAGGTAATGAGTCGATGAGACGACATCGATCCAATGCACATCCAAAGAGAACATTGCTGAATGCTGACGTGATGGCGCTGGCCACAGGGTTCGCAGCAGCGACAACGGAACCTGGTGGCGCCAGGGAGCTCAAAAGGAGGCTCACTTACAACGATGTCGCTGGTCGGGCAACGCCGGTGACGCTGCCGCCGCCTGCCTTCCGAGATGGGCAAGCTACCGTCGTTTATGTATGTAAAATATACTCTACTACTCCTATAGTAGGAGTAACAATCATGGATGCGTGGGAACTGAAGCAAGTTTTGGTGCAGCAACATGCGCAGGTGCAGGGAGGGCACACGTACCAGGAAAGCCTCCGGCGCTACGTGCGGGACGCAGGGCTCAAGGCAAGGCTGGCCACCGAGTTTAAGATCCTCGAATGTGACACTCGGGGCAGGCACAACCCCTCGCCGGCCTCCTACTGGAACGGTTTCGCCCCCAACGCCGGCACCTACTACCCCTCAAGTGCCGCCGCCGCCGCCTCCACCGCGCTCCGCACAATGTCACCGGCGTCCGGTGGCGAGCGGCCTTTTCCGGATTGCAAGCTGGAGACGGACGACCTGCTCAGCCTCGTCATGCTCATGGGCACGCCCGCCTTCTTGGAGAGAGCTAAGCACATGTTTGGTTACACGGCCGCTGAGGACAGCTCCAAGGTGACCAGAGCGGCCGGCGACGCAAAGGTCGCCGTCACAGAAGCGCCACAGACGAGTGAGCCAGGCGATCCGGCGGCAGCCACTTTCGGACCGTTCGCTCCGCCCAAGTTGCCCCTTAGCCGGCTGGGCTTCAGCCAGTTCGCCGGCTCTTCGGCCCAGCCGTTCATGGTGAAGTCGAATTCTGCCGGGGAGAAGAGACGAGAATGAAGGACGAACCCAACTCCAGCAAGTTCACTCCGTCCATTTTGTGTCGTGTCCTTGACTCCCATTATATCGCTCAGCGTCAGCGGGGAAATGATAGTATTATTTTAGAATAATAATTGCAACTAGCATCTCTTTTCTATCTAAACTTAGTCAGACACCTGAGGTTGCTCATCATCAAATGTATGCAAGTTCCAAAACCATCACAGACTTCAGATATACACAAGACTTTCTGCCACAGGCCAACATATTTTTTTTTTTTTGCCAAGAAATAACATACCGGAAGTAATTAACATGCCACAACAGTTGTTTTCTGATTGCTACCCAAGCATATTAGCAGACTGGACTCCTTTCTCTTATGTTTTTCTTAAAGGAAACACTGGCATATTACCTTCTTAACACGTATGTAGCTCGTTGCCACTCTCAAAGCATCGCACGGCTGTAAACGCCACCTACACCGTAACAATTACTGCATCAGCCAACTTCAAGAGGTCTCGCAAACTTAAAACAAGAAGCAGCAGCAGGACCTACAGTATGAATGGCAGCTGCATTTATCAACCTTTCCAGGTATCCTTGATGTTCCTGACCGTCCTCAGCGCTTCAACTGCCGACTTGGCACCAAATTTTGCCTGCAGAATCAAGGATACAGTCACCAAATGTGTGCCGTTTGTATTACAGAAGCATAGTAACTAGCGGGTGTGCTTTATGGACCTGTATTTCAGGCAGATCAACACGCATGAAGGTGTTTATCTCAAACTCATCTCCTATAGTTGAGGGAACCGTCGGTTGATTTGCCTCACGCTGCTTTTGAGCCCATTCCAGTTTCTGCTTCATTTTTTCATTCTCTGGCTCGACTGTCAGCATGAATTGTAGGCTCTTTACAGTGTACTGTGAGATACAATGAAATAATAAGAGCAGAGTATACATCACTTATCTGTTCAAGCATATCATATTAGCGACACATAACACAAATTATTGTTGGGTGCGCACATGGAGTTAATGGCAAAGGTGTTTTCAGGATGTTTTTTAGAAAGAATAGTGTGACACTGACATGAACACTTTTTACATAACATAGGAAGCCAGATTGCAACAATTTGAGCCAGACAGAAAATGTATAAGTATTATATTTTAGTTAAGGATCCATATACTAAACTCATTCAGAATTCATGTTTTCACATGCACTCCAGAACCTAAAGCATACGTCATCTTCTATAACTCAAGTTTAAAAGGAGGCCAAAACAATCAACGGAACAGCATAGAGGATGTAGAGAGTGGCATGATAGCTAAACTACCACTTGTCGATGTTGAACACATGTAACAGACACACACCGAACCGAACAACTAATTAAGGAATATATCTGCTACACTTTTGAGTATATAAGTTTCACTGAAGATTCATATTCGTCAAAAATGAAGGCCTGTTATTCCAGAAAGAGCTAAGAAACTTGCCTCATGGCCACAGTAAACACGAGTTGACTTAGGCAGCGAGCCCAGTGTAACACAAAGGGACTGGTACATTTGCTCTGCCGTACCCTCGAAAAATCTCCCACAACCAGCAATGAACTGTGCTTCAAAAAATGGTCAGGTATTTAACATGGAGAAGAGCAATTATTATGTAATGTGTATACTAACCAAGGTGTCTCCAGTAAATACTGCTGGGTCTTCCTCCTCTTTGCTAGTAACGTAGTAGCTAATATGACCTTTTGTATGACTGTTGGAAATATAAAAACAGTAAGGACCACCAAATCAAGAAAATAACAAAGTTGATAATTCACAGAGCAAACATACAAAAGGTTCCAACACCATTCAAATCAGTAATCCTAGTAAAATCCATGAAGTAGTAGTGCTATTATATGATTTATTTATTCAAGCGGATGCACATCTTTGAATAATTCAGTGTCCTTATACACAAAAGGTTTTATTTCTTATCTTTTAAAGCTTACGTGATCCGGAAAATAGAAACCATACTAATCATATAAGTAAACTAATGAGGAGGTGAGAACTATGTTACATGGCAAGAAGGTAACAACTCATACCATGGCGTATGTAGGCACAGTATCTCAATTTCCTTCCCAATGGATAACTTAGTTCCGTTTTCCACCTGATCAGTGCAGCCTTTAACATTGTCCATGGATCCCCCATAGACCTTAATCCCTGGCACCAGCAGCCTCATCTTCTCATTGCCACCAGCATGATCCCTAGAAACATAAATAATCATTACCAGCTCACTACATGATTGCAACTATACCTGACGATTATAGCACATATGAAGTAAATCATCATTACCAGCTCACTAGATAGTTCCAATAACACCTTTTAGCACATATTGAGTACTCTCTCTGTCCCATAATATAAGATGTTTTTGCAAGCTAACCCAGCTTGCAAAAACGTCTTTATTGTGGGACAAAGGGGGTACTACTTATCTTCTACCTACTGCCAGATAGGTACCTTGAAAGCATCAAAATGTTTTCTTCATCAGTCTTTATTTGTATTAGAAACGCCGCGTGTAGTACGAATGGAATACGCCAATTACTTACACTGCATATTCAGTGGAGTGCCCACATAGCTCTTTCATCATTGTGTAATTTATTACTTCATTTCTCTTCAGCCATTTCTTATGTATGATTCTACTTTGTATCGTTCTCTACATGATTGCTAATGAATCGTACAAATATATGTTGGTTTAGCACATACTAATATTCTGTTCAACTTAGGGATGAAAAGGGAGTGGAAACTTTCCGGATTTTCCATGGAAAAACGGTGATGAAGAAGAAATACGGAAACAGAATATTGTGGAATGGAAATGGAAATGGAATTTCTTACGCTGAACGAAACGGCGTTTTCCGGCAGAAATTCCATTTCCGTAAATACGGAACTTTCCGTTTCCCCATGGCTAGGCTACTATGTGGCTCAGTCCAGCACTCAATAAAACACATGTTGTGGCCCAACATCCAGATCGCTAATACCTAACGTAGTCTCCTTATACGTGTCACTATCCCCAGCAGGCCAGCCTACACCCTCCTGCCCATCCTCGCTGCACTGTCCAGGCGCCTCCACGTGGTGCGGCTGGTTTAAGAGATCATCGAAAGACGTTGTAGTCATATAAACTGGAATAGCTTGTTAGTTTGCTTGTGTTTTTCGAAATCATTAAAGGGGTCTTTTAGTTCCGGCGAACATACGGATTTGTATCACGTCCGCACCGTATTCATTACCGGTAATATCTCTTTCCGTATTCGTTTCCACTTCCGGAAAAAAAAAATAAGAAAACAAATGCGGCAACACTCAGTTCCGTCTGTTTCCGTTTCCGCTCCTTTTTTTTTGAATTTTCAGGGGGACGGGGGTGTCCCACCTGAACATTTCATTAAAAGAACAGGGGCAAGCCTCCTGGGGGCAGAATGTTTACATCATTTTGGGATAGACAGCACGGGGTTGACATAGCACAAGGTAAGCTGCAAGGGCGATCAGTCACGAGTCGACGTCTCCCTGTCTATCACTCTTCAGCCTTCCACGCCACAGAGCAGCGTCCTCGCGGCAGCGCTTGAGGAGAAGCGAAAGAGATGGCCGCAGGCCGCGGAACACCACACCGTTCGGATGCTCCCACAAGTGCCAGCAACACAGCAACAGGAAGGTGTCAACCGATGCCTGACCGATGGCCGGAGAGACGTCCAGCAGGTGCAGTGACTTGACCGACGTGCCAAGGAGCAGGACGCCCAGCTTGGTCCAGAAGGAGACGGCGAAGGGGCGGCCGAAGACAAGGTGTTGGGCGGACTGAATTTCTGCTCCGTTTACATCCCTAATTCACCTTGTAGTTATCCTCAGAGCAATAAGAGCATCAAGCTATTAGCTTTATCTTTCCTTTTCCATTTCTCCATCTCTATTTTCGAGTTCTATAAGAACACGTAGCATGATTACACGAGTGACGTTTTTGCAATTATACTGGTTTGTTCTGCAACAACTATAGAAGCACGAAGCAGAGCACATCCGTATTCTAGAAAGTAGTGACCCTCTTAACAACCAAGGGAAGTAAGCCGATGAATTGCTAGGCTGGGATGGGATGGGAATGGGATGGATGGCGTACCAGTGGTGGTGGGTGGTGAGGACGCAGTCGATGTAGGCGCCGACCTCGCTGGCCGCCGCCAGCACCTTCTCCGGCTCCACCGGGTCGACGGCCGCCGCCGCCTTGGTGCTCTCGTCAACGATCCTTGAAAAGAGAATAAACAGGATCTCAAACGGATCTCCGAGCAGAAGCTAAGCAACAAGGGAAGCAAGGTTCAAGATTCGTACAGGTAGGCATAGTTATCCTCCAAGCAAGCCACCGGAATGATCTTCATCCTTCGATTTCTGGAACGAAATCCTGACGGAGAAGAGTGGAAGCAGGCCGGAAGTGAGGAGAGGGTCGTGGAAGGTTTAAGAATGGGGAACAACCGCTTTGGGGAACCAGGGATCCTCTGTATCCGTCAATTTGGTGAACCAGGCCTGCCATCGTTTCTTTTTTCCCCTCTGTCTCCCTCTTTCTTTCTGAAAAATCTACGGAACCAATACAGGCGCCTATCGCTTGTGTAGTTTTATTTAACACAGTATAAACGCAAGCACTCATATACACGTGCATACATACATTCATCCCTATAAATGTATACACACATCCTACCCCTATGAGCACCTTCGAAAGACTGAGCCGGCATATCATCTTGAAATTTACAAAGTCACCTAAGCACCTCGTCGTCGACGGGAACGTCTCCTTTCACTGAATGCGTGTCGCCGAAAATCCTGAAATAAATTTAGGAATAAATGCGAGCACCAGGCTGAACCCTGGTGGGCTGGGATACCACGATCCCTTTAACCATCCAACCACATATTGGTTCGCATCGTTTGTGTAGTTGTGTATCTGTGTTTCATGACATTTTTTATAAAGAAAATATATTAATATCATGAATATATCAATTACATCCAGCATCTACAAAGTGTGTTTCACGGTATGCCCTAGAAAAAATCTTAAAACCCACCCCTCTCTCTAATATAACATAACAACAATAATAATACACCAATAACATCTTAGCATTATATAGGACGGAGGAGTAATTTCCCTTCTTACTACTGACGAAACGCACATCAATTTACTTTAAAATGCCAAAGCGTTCTTTGACTTGGTCTTTTTACTGGTTTGTCTGTTTTACTATCATCGGCGAGGGCTTTGAAAGTGAAACCCATTGGACATATTTTGGCGACCATTTAGACTATTAGTTATTTACCATCATATTTCTAATGAGTTTTCAAAAAATTGAACATTATTGTGCACAAACTAGTGTATACTAGAGATTCAAATTTTGTAATGTGTACTAGCAATCCATCTTTACAATGCAAGAGAATACAATCATATAACTCTCATCCAGCAAAGTGACATCACACAGGTATTGTTGTCCATTATAATCCTTCATCTTCCGTCTTTCGTCAACATCAATTACGCTATCTTATTTCCCAAGGCTAGTAGGTAAAATTGTGTCTATCATAGCTTGTCACAGAACTAGTTAAGACTTGCTAAACATTTAACGGTTTAAAAGTAAGTAAAAAATATGAAATAAATAGGGGAGCCTCACTCCAATATAATAAGATGATCCAACGGTGTGATTGTGAAAATATGCATTTATGTGTCCTTAGCAAAAAAAACAAGCGTTTCAGCTCACTTCAGGATCAATATATATTGAAACATTTGTTCTTTTTGTCCAGGACACATGCAGTCATATTTTTTCAATCCATCTGTTGGATCATATTATATTATAGGTGTGTTGGTTTAGTTTTTTTCAGAATTTTTGAGAACTTTTACACCGTTGAAAACCTTAACTAGTTCTGTGGCAAACTATTGTAGAAAATCCTACTCCAAGGCCATTAAGCATAACTATTTCTTTTCTTTTTGAGAGGTGGTGGTGAGGGTGTAACTCCCCTATAATTAAGCTACATTGATCTCATCCTAATTATGCAATGTCATCTTATTTTGCTAACCATAATTGTCCCTTGATTGAAACCCTAGTGAAATTCAAATTCAAATTATTATTTCTTCAAATAGTAAATAAAAAATGTTTGCTGGGTTGCAAATATTCACTAGCTAATTGTCATGGGTAAAACCAACATAATTTAAATTATTAAAATGGTCTCAACCTCAGTATAACAGAACCAGCAACACTTAAGTGAGCCATTTAATCTACTAACAAGAAGAGAGATATGGAAGGTACATCTCCATCTACCAACTCCTTCACTGTCTTATCTGATCCTGATTTAATGCTTAGAGCTAGCATGATGGGGGTAATCATTCCTGATGCTTATTTTTCTAAAGTCAACATTATTCAAGAGCTTGAAAATTTTAGAAATAATGCAGTAGAAAAAGATATCTCTGTTGTTAATAACATGTTTATTACTAATGAGAAGGGGGAAGACATCCCCATTAGCCTTAAACGGGGGGATGATTGCAACAGTGGTATTTCTGATTTTACTATGGTTGGGCCTAGAAAGAAAAAGAGTGCTAGGAAGATTCAGACATGTGTGTCTAGACCTAGAACTAGAAGTCAAAAAACAGTGGAGCCCACTGTTGATCCTTGTAATGTTGGGGAACGTAGTAATTTCAAAAAAAATCCTACACACACGCAAGATCATTGTGATGCATATCAATGAGAGGGGAGAGTGTTGTCTACGTACCCTCGTAGACTGAAAGCGGAAGCGTTATGACAATGCGGTTCATGTAGTCGTATGTCTTCACGATCGACCGATCCTAGTACCGAACGTACGGCACCTCCGCGATCTACACACGTTCAACTCAGTGACATCCCACGAACTCACGATCTAGTAGAGCTTCGAGGGAGAGCTTCATCAGCACGACGGCGTGATGACGGTGATGATGAAGCTACCAGAACAGGGCTTTGCTTAAGCACCGTTACGATATGACCGAGGTGGATTATGGTGGAGGGGGGCACCGCACACGGCTAAGGGATCAATGATCAACTTGTGTGTCTATGGGGTGCCCCCTGACCACGTATATAAAGGATGGAGGGAGGAGGAGGCCGACCCTCATAGGGCGCGCCAAAAGTGTGGAGTCCTACTAGGACTCCCTAGTCCTAGTAGGATTCCACCTCCCACATGGAATAGGAAAAAGGGAAGGAAGAAGGAGAAGGAAGGAAGGGGGCGCCCCTTTCCCTAGTCCAATTCGGATTAGTCCATGGGGAAGGGGCGCGGCCACCCTTGATGCCTTTTCTCTCCTTCCCCGTATGGCCCATTAAGGCTCAATACGAATTCCCGTAACTCTCCGGTACTCCGGAAAATACCCGAATCACTCGGAACCTTTCCGATGTCCGAATATAGCCTTTCAATATATTGATCTTTACGTCTCGACCATTTCGAGACTCCTCATCATGTCCCCGATCTCATCCGGGACTCCGAACAAACTTCAGTCATCAAATCACATAACTCATAATACAAATCGTCACAGAATGTTAAGCGTGCGGACCCTACGGGTTCGAGAACTATGTAGACATGACTGAGACACGTCTCCAGTCAATAACCAATAGCGGAACATGGATGCCCATATTGGCTCCCACATATTCTACGAAGATCTTTATCGGTCAAACCGCATAACAACATACGTTGTTCCCTTTGTCATCGGTATGTTACTTGCCCGAGATTCGATCGTCGGTATCTCAATACCTAATTCAATCTCGTTACCGGAAAGTCTCTTTACTCGTTCCGTAATACATCATCCCGCAACTAACTCATTAGTTACATTGCTTGCAAGGCTTATAGTGATGTGCATTACCGAGAGGGCCCAGAGATACCTCTCCGACAATCGGAGTGACAAATCCTAATCTTGATCTATGCCAACTCAACAAGTACCATTGGAGACACCTATAGAGCACCTTTATAATCACCCATTTACGTTGTGACATTTGGCAGCACACAAAGTGTTCCTCCAGTATTCGGGAGTTGCATAATCTCATAGTCATAGGAACATGTATAAGTCATGAAGAAAGCAATAGCAACAAACTAAACGATCATCGTGCTAAGCTAACGGATGGGTCAAGTCAATGACATCATTCTCTAATGATGTGATCCCATTAATCAAATGACAACTCATGTCTATGGTTTAGGAAACATAACCATTATTGATTCAACGAGCTACTCAAGTAGAGGCAAACTACTGACACTCTGTTTGTCTATGTATTCACACATGTACTAAGTTTCCGGTTAATACAATTCTAGCATGAATAATAAACATTTATCATGATATAAGGAAATATAAATAACAACTTTATTATTTCCTCTAGGGCATATTTCCTTCAGTCTCCCACTTGCACTAGAGTCAATAATCTAGTTCACATCGTCATGTGATTTAACACCAATAGTTCACATCTTTATGTGATTAGTTCACATCTCCATGTGACTAACACACAAAGGGTTTACTAGAGTCAATAATCTAGTTCACATCGCTATGTGATTAACACCCAAAGAGTGATCATGTTTTGCTTGTGAGAGAAGTTTAGTCTGCGGGTCTGCAACATTCAGATCCGTATGTATTTCGCAAATTTCTATGTCTACAATGCTCTGCACGGAGCTACTCTAGCTAATTGCTCCCACTTTCAATATGTATCTAGATCGAGACTTAGAGTCATCTAGATCGGTGCCAAAAGCTTGCATCAACGTAACTCTTTACGACGAACTCTTTGTCACCTCCATGACCAAGAAATATTTCCTTAGTCCTCTAAGGATAATTTTGACCGCTATCCAGTGATCTACTCTTAGATCACTATTGTACTTCCTTGCCAGAATCATGCTAAGGTATACAATAGGACTGGTAAACAACATGTCATACTTTATAGAACCTATGATTGAGGCATAGGGAATGACTTTCATTCTCTTTCTATTTTCTGCTGTGGTCGGGTTTTGAGTCTTTACTCAACTCCACACCTTGCAACACAAGCAAGAACTCCTTCTTTGACTTTTCCATTTCGAACTACTTCAAAATCTTGTCAAGGTATGTACTCATTGAAAATATATCAAGCGTCTTGATCTATCTCTATAGATCTTTATGCTCAATATGTAAGAAGCTTCACCGAGGTCTTTTCTTTGAAAAACTCCTTTCGAACACTCCTTTATGCTTTCCAGAAAATTCTACATTATTTCTGATCAACAATATGTCATTCTCATATACTTATCAGAAATGTTGTAGTGCTCCCACTCACTTTCTTGTAAATACAGGCTTCACCGCAAGTCTATATAAAACCATATGCTTTGATCACTTTATCAAAGCATATATTCCAACTCCGAGATGCTTGCACCTGTCCATAGATGG